CGGAGGAGGACAAGGCCGAGTGGTGCACGGCTGATTGGTGGATACCCGGAGAGATCCAAGGCGTTCGATTCAGGGCTTATTGGTGCACAAAATTGGTGGTGCACGGCTGCGCTTCCTTCATGGCGATCTTATTATGCACCGTTTCCATTCTCTAAATTCTAAATCATAGCGTAGTGACCATAGACCGTTCCGCTTCCACTCTTTTTTTTTACTTCTCTGAAATCTACTATTTGATTGACAATATTCATGCTGTTCTATACATATTATAATACCTAGGCACATATTGCGCGAAGTATTGTTGCACATCACTTTTGATTGAATACGAACCAGCTCCTTACCATTTTATCGTCTTCTGTATCTAACTCTATTTCGTGCGTGATGCTTATCAAAATATTATTATTCATATTTAATCAAATATTAGTGAGCTTCTTGTGGTTCACGTTTTTTTTAAATTTGCTGTTTCGTTGAGCAGGTGCTTTGTACTCAAACTCACTTAGTTTCTTGAACTGGAACTAGTTCTCTCAATTTTTTTAAATAATAGAACATTATACCCAATTTTACAAATTATTATTATTATTATTATTATGTTATCCAACAACAAACAAAAAAAATCATTTGTGGTGACTGTCTAGAGCGTGTATAATAGATGATTGAACAACTTGTTTGCACAATGCAGCGTAGGAATACATTCACCAAAGTAAATTATGCACTACCAACTGTTTTGATTCAATTAAACTTTTTGCCTATCGGATGTTCAAATATATGTCAGATTGGGTTGATTTGCTCTTAAAATTTTACGAAGTAATTGAGTTCTCTGGTCTAAATGATATTAAGTTGCTGTGGTGATGATATACGTATAACATAACTATATTATCTTGAGTTTTTACTCATTGATGCGCAAATCAAAAAATCTTCACATTAATTATTGAAAAAATACTCCAAAATAATTGTAAGGAATTTTAAAATAGAATGTTTGCTTTGTTCCATTGACAATGTTTACCATTCTTATTTTGTAAAGTTGGCAATCGTGGATCTTTGATGGGAAGTCAGAGAGGACTGTTGGTGTTGGGTCATCTGCTGGAATTTGTCTTTGTATGATCTGCTTCATGCTATGCAGCTGTAAATAAAAATTATAGCCAAGTTTTATCGATCATTTTAATGTTATTTTTATCCTTTTTTAATTGTTTGCAGTAAACAAATCTAATCAAACTAATGTTCGGTTCCATTCAACTCGTTCGGGTCGGGCTGCTTGTGCGATTGTGAACGTCAAGTGATGTCTGTCGCACTTAGCTAGGCTCAGTGCCAGTGTTCGTTTCTAGCTCTTTCTAGAAACATTTAAAATATGAGAACATATTTAATACAAAATTTACAATTTATTAGTAGTTGAAATTCTACTACGTCACTGCCATTTCCAATGTTTAGCTAAAGAAATTAATCATATTCACAGTCTCACAGATGATAGTGGTTCCCATTTTTTTCAATTCACTGTTCACATTAAATTGATTAAACAGTAGACCAAGTTGTAAGGAATAAGGATACTGCTTGTTGTTATTACTTGTGTAAATTTCAGAGTTTTATTGACTTTTTTTACATCATTACTTTTCAATCATTAAAATGTAGTTTATACCTGAACATCTTGAAACATTCCACATTTGTTTTGACTTGAGCAGAAAAAAATTGAAAAGAAATAAAAAATTGAGAATGAATGTTATCAGCCTGAGCCCTGAGGATCAGCTGTGGTATAATTTTTGATAGTAAAATGATGTTTTTCTAAGCTACGTTGGTAAACTTGAATTTAGGAAAACTACTATTTCAACCTAAGTAGAGCAAGAGCAGTTAAGCTATATCTAGAGTTGAAAGATTCTTGCTAAATCTGTCATCTAGCTATGTCCTTACTGAAGATGCTGTGATTTCCAATTTATCTAAAACATTACCAGAGCTTGTACTTCAACATATCAGAAAAAAAACAATGTTTTTTGAAATAATCTTTTTGCACAAGAATAGTAAATGGAAAGTAAAGTTCAGCCAAACTTTCCTGCTCAATAGGCTATGTCTAATATTGTAACCTAACAGGCTAATAGTGAGTTTAAGCCTTTATAGTTTTTTCTAAATTTTGTCACTTGGGAGCCAAAAATTTCAGTACCGTAAAATGGGGTAACTTAGACCGGCGGGGTAACTTAGACCACTTTTCGTTTTTTTAACAAAAACCCCCACAACTCAAAAACTATTTGACATAGAAAAATTTTGTCAATGGGCATTAAAGGCCTAATACTGAGGCCACATAAGAAAAAAAGCTATTATTTAAAGCCTGTCAGAGTACCCCCTCCAATTTTTTTATTTTTTGGTTAAATAACTCCAGGTATTGATGCATTGTAGTAGAACTCTTCTAGTTACATATGCAAATGACAAATTTTAGGAAAGTGTCATAGTTTGCAAATGGGGTGGGGGGGGCATAGAAAGTGGCATAGTTTGCCCCCCCCCCCAAACTTAGACCACCTAATGTCAGTGCTGACGGGGTAACATAGACCGGCTTGGAAGTTAATATAAAATTACCATATATAACATATTTTATGTTTGACAGCCTATTTATGTTTTTTCTTTAGGTTTCAGACTCTACAGAGTCTTATATATGGTAATTTAACTTAATTTCCAGGCCGGTCTATGTTAACCCTGTCAGGGCTGCCATTAGGTGGTCAGAGTTCTCCCGTTTGGGGGAACTTAGACCACCTGGGGGCAGGACCCCCCATTTGCAAACTATGACACTTTCCTCAAGTTTGTCATTTGCATATGTAACTAGAAGAGTTCTACTACAATGCACCAAAACCTGGAGTTATTTTACCAAAAAATATAATTGATTTTACCACCCGGTCTAAGTTACCCCAGGAGCTGGGGTAGCAAAGACCATCACTTTTTTTGAAATTACATAAAGACTATGAGAGGCAGGAGACAGCAATTTATGGTAAGTGAAGCTAGAGTATAGACCTGTATTTTGCATGTTTCAATTCAAGTTTAATTTAGCTAATAAAAAAATGGCATCATTTATAAAAAAAAAGTGGTCTAAGTTACCCCATTTTATGGTAGTAGGTAAGAAAATTCCTATCTACATAAGTTCATAACTACATTAACCCTTTACCACCCAAATTTCCGGGTCAAAAATGACAAATTTCACTTTTCCAGTTTTTTGTCTCACCTTAAAGCTGACATTCTGACGGTCTGACCTATCCAACAGTACCAAAATCATCTCTGTACATTGATTTTTGCCTTGACAGCAGATCACGAAAGGGTTAGGGGTGGGGGAGTTCTTTCACATTTAAGATAGGCAAAAATTACTGGCTGGGCACATAAATAAACAACCTGACGATGCTGATCTTTAGTTACCCAGCTGCTGTCGTGTGGGATGGTGCTCATGCAGTTGTTCCCACCATCCTCGACTGAATTTCAGCTCCAGTAATGTCTAGTCTTGTATCCATGCCACCTTGAATGCCTATTTCGCGGCGCTCGGGACTTTGCCGCACTCTGCTGAACATTCACACTTATTGTCACTGCAAACCTATCTCCTCCTAGAATTTTTAAGCTACAGCAATGAGAGATATACCGTTCGATTTGCAAATAAAAGATCTAAGAGATTGGTTGTAGCTTTTTTTTTTTAATTTCATTATAGTTTTGAAAATATTTTGAAGAAAGAGAAGGGGGAGGGGGGGAAATCCAATTTTTTTAAAAAATACCAACCCCACCCACAAAAATTAGAATTTCAAAAAACAGCAAGGACCAATCAATAGATATGGTCCTTACACATCAAATGATATGCATCTCTATGTTGTAGCTTGAAAATCCTAGGAGGAGATAGATTTCTACAGTGCCCCCTTTAGGCTGTTTTCTAAGAATTTCACATTTTCTTTCATTTTTTTAAAATTCACTAGAACAAAAAAGTCTTAGATTTATCTTTTACATATGTGTACCAAGTTTTAAAGTGATCTGTATGTAAATAACCAAAATAAAATTTCCAAAAGAAATTGGAAATTTTATTTTGGTTATTTACAGACAGATAATTTTTTTGAAAGTTGGTAGACTTATGTAAAAAATAAATCTTAATACATTTTCTGTTTGTGTGAATTTTTTGAAAAAATAAAAGAAAACATGAAATTATTAGAAAACCGGTGTTAATTTAAAGGTGACTTGAAAGTCTGATATGGCAGTAAAGGGTTAATGGATGGCTTTTGTTTAATTTTTAAGTATGGTTTGCTGGTCTGATCATTCAAATTTGATTCAATTATGTTCTAACTTGTTAGTAGGCTGGTATATTGGGCAGAAAAATTTGGCCTTTTTTTTAATTTTTGCAATAAAAATTAGGCAAGGGCTGTAGACAGCAGTATTAAGTTTAAAAATAATCCTACAAGAAATTGAAATAGAAAGTTACTGTGGTATGACCACTGCTGAGTAGGCTAATCCCAATTGGGAATTATATCAGCCAGGTGTTTCCTTAAATAGCGGGTAAAAACAATTGTCTCACGAGTGCACCTTGGGTGGTGAAGGGAGGGACTATGCCTATGCCTTCCTCAGGGCAATTAAAAGTCTTTTACTTGACCAATAAAAATTGTTGCAAAGCTTCCATTGACTGACCTGTAAGAATAGAAAGTAAGTATCATTAGCTGCTCTCTGGTATATAAAAAATTTGTATTGAACGATAAATTGTAGATCAACCTTAGATAGTCGACAAGGCCACACTTGGTAAAAAATAATTGTGGGTTATATAGTAGTGCTTTCTTGCATTGTTACAAACCAGCTATAAACATTTGAAAATCCTAATGATATATAGGTATATATATTTTTTAATTTGATCTCAGCTGATAGGTTAGCTCATTTTATATAGGTAGTATTTACATCCCATATTATAAAATGGTATTGGTATATGAAGTCATTAAAGTTGCAGCTGCAGCAGATGAACATCTTGGAACTAAATTTCTTATATAATAATAAACTTGTGTCTTTTTGAATTTCTAGAAACTTGCAACTGAAATTATGTGCAGTTGAAATCTGAGTGTAGGGAAGTTTTGTAAAAGTGTAGTCACTACGCCAGACTCGAAAGAAAGATTCGCCATGGTGGTGGCGCAATCTTGTCGAAGCAGTGGTGGGGGAGGGATTGGAGTTGGCATGGCACGTCTTGCCTCCACTGGCTGTGGTCTCACTCCTCGTGAGCTTTCTGAGTGTGATGACTTAGTCACTGCACTTGTTATAGATCCCATACTTGGCTTCACTTCACACAAAATGGCCATAAGGTGAGCTAGATTAATAAATTGTTCATTTTTATCTTCAGTTTTTATATTTTTCCATTCCTTTCATGGTGGTTATTGATAACAGCTTCTGTTAAAAGTTGAAAATGCTATCATTGTTGCCTACCTTTGATGAACTGTAGGTCTGAAGGATTTTTAAAAAAAGTTGTTATGAAATGCATGCAGCAACCAACCCTTTTGATCAGAAAAGTTTTTAATAGAGTTTGAGTGGTAGGTATGATCAATCTCTCAAGTCTGCTGATAAGGAAATTAGATTAATTTATCTGTTTACTAATTTATTGCCAATGAATGTCTAAGTAAATATTTCTTAGTAGATTTATAATGTCATTAAGTCTCCTTTTTCTTTTAAGATTACTTTTGTACTGCATTTGATGGAAAATTTAACTTGCATTAAGCTTTTTAGCTTGATTTTTTCTTAATTGAATCTCAATTGCGTGGTATCTGTTTTGTATCCAATGTAAAAATTTTATTTTAATATTACAGATATCGGCCTCTCCACAACTGCCAGGCCCCATGCAAAAGTATTGTGGAGGACTTTAAAGTTCACCAAAACTACACAAAAGCTTATAAACAACTCATCTCAGGAGAATGGATTCCTTACAAGGCCTACCTCAACAAATCCAAAGCTTATCAAGTAGCATTCCAGGTAAAGTTTCCAAAAAGCTACAGTCATGCCATATCTGACTATTGAAATGTATCATTAATTTTGCTGTGGTTTTCATTGCACTTTGTTTATTTGTGAATTGTAATGTAAACAGCACTGGATAATTACACCAATAGAATTGCAGATGGGAATACATACTACCTGGCACAATACCATACAACTTAGGCTTAATGCTTGGTAAAAAAAAAGTCATGTAGGTCAGTCTGACTGTTTTGCATGGTATTGAAAGTGTGAATTGTTTCCACATAGAGGAATGAAGCACTGTGTTCAAGTGATAGTTTTGTAGGTATGTATCCTGTGAGATATTCTGCAGTGATACAAATCCAATCTGAAGTAAAGCCCTGAAAAATGGTTTTGCCGAAATTCACTACTATATAATTTTAGTTATGAGGAATAAATTGGCATGTAAATTTGATCCTATTTAAGGAAATGATATCAAGTATTTGTTACCATAAAACAAGGTCTCATGGAACATTGATGGGGTGACTTTTCCATTTTTAGCTCAGGTACTTTTTGTAATGCAGATGTGTCACATAGTAAATGTGTAAAATATATCTTTATTGCATTTGTAGGTTATCTCATGGTACTTAAAGAGCCATCAACACATTTTTTGTAATGCAAGAACTTTTTGAGTTATAGGGTTTTCTTTTTTTTTTTAAGTCAAAATGGTCCAAGTTTTACAGTACAGTGAATGAAACAGAATGTATATAAGTTCCGGTCTAAGGAGAGGGAATCTTAAAAGTTTATGACAGCAATTAATAGTATATGTTGTATCTTATGTTGAATTTTGACTGCATGAAATTCCTAAGATCAAATGATCAATGACTCTACTAAACTTTTGCTTCCAAATTGCATGCTTCAAGTAAATTAGACAGTTTTCATTCATAAGCTACTTCTGCTGATGAATCATAATTATGCATTTCTTTAATTTTAAGAAGTGGTTTACATCATTGACTGCTGTAATTAACCAGAAATGAAAATATTTCAGTCAAAATGAGGCTTGAATATTACATTGCAATTGAAAAGGGATTTTTTTATAAACCAATCTTTTCCTGAAAACTATTTAGGTTATAAAAAATTGGTGGTGATGTTCTCATTTTCACAGTTTGGGAAGGAAAGACATAAATTGAACAAAAGCCAAAGCATAATTTTTTGTCAGTAAAAATATACTATAAATAATAATAATAATAATAATATACTATAAATAATATGCCATTATAAATAAAATGACTTTTACAATAAACTTCTTTCATCCTGAAGAAGTTGGAAGCTCTTGTAGAATTTCTGCTTTTTTGTGCTTATGTACTTAATAGTACCTTCATGATTATGTACCCTTCATTAATGGGGAATCCTCATGTAAACTTGTTAATTGCAGGAACATGTGATGCGCTACTTACGCGTCTATGACGTCAACAGTGGCTTTGAAGTTCAGATGTGCAACAGATACAGTATGGAAGGCAGGAAAGGTGCAAAGATTGCTGCCACCAAGAAATGGTAAGATTCCTTGCTGCTTAGATACGAAATTTTGTAGTATTATTTCAAGAACTTCTTAAACTTTTCCTTGCATCTTCTTTGCTGTGTTGGCTATTATGAATTCCTATGTGCTATCTGTGCATGAATATTATGGTTATTGTGCAATACCAATGTGAAGCAAAGTGTTATCCAAATGGGATGCATTGTACTTCAACTAATGCACTTAGAGCTAAATGTAAATACACGTTTAGAATCAAAAATGTTAAATAAGTCTAAAATTATAACCTTGGCTAGAATTTAATTTGTTCACATTTATGTGATGTTTTTCTTGTACCTCATGGGCCAATAGCTTGCTAATACTATATTGGTTTTCAGGTACAAGAATGAGCAAATAACTTTCTTGGTGGGCTGCATTGCGGAGTTAAGTGAAGAAGAAGAGGCTCAGATGCTTGTGCCAGGCAAGAATGACTTCTCAGTGATGTACTCCTGCCGCAAGAACTGCGCTCAGCTCTGGCTTGGACCTGCAGCTTATATCAATCATGACTGTCGCTCCAACTGCAAGGTGAGTCTTGCTCTGTAATGTCTTATTCAATTGTTGTATAGGTATTACTTGTGACTATAATGTAGTGAAATTGGCTTTTTTTGGAGTCAACTATAACATGAATTTTTTGCGGTCAGAGAATGATTAGCGTTGAAGGGAAAATTTTCACAAAGATATTGTAACTTCTTTGAACATTTTTTAGAAATTTGTTGCAGAAATTAATATCAATTGATAAATGTTTTTAACAGATACGTTGTAAACTGAAGGAATTCTTGGCCTTCTCTCGCGGACATTATACGTTACTTTGACTTTATTCAAAGCAATATTGCTGAATATTTAATTAGAATTTTCTACTTTTTGAACCCTAATTTGTTTTATTTGAAACCTATAAATTTAGTTTGATATTTTTCCAAAAATAAATATTGTTGTATGGTTCCTGTTATATAGAACCTGGACTAGTTTTCAGAAATTCTTTGTCTAATTGATGCATTCCAAAGACAAGTTCTAATTCTTCATTCCTATTAACTTTTCTGTATTTCGTGCCTTGCATTGTGTCATTGCTCTTATTGGATGCCATCTTTTGTGTTCAATGAACACAATTGATTAATCAATTTTTCACTGTGATGAATTAATTTAAGAGAAAGTACTAAATAGTACTAAATTTTAGTACAAAAGTACTAAATTTTGCTCACAGTTCATGCTTCCTTGTTGAGTTATTATTACATAAATTATATGTCTAGTCATTTATGTGGTTTGGCCGTGAGCTTGAGCATGATTTATCTTCATGTGAACAGTTCGTAGCCACGGGTCGCGGCACAGCGTGTGTAAAGGTGCTGCGTGACATAGAAGTGGGCGAGGAGATCACATGCATGTATGGCGAGGACTTCTTTGGTGATAACAACGCCTACTGCGAGTGTGTTACGTGTGAACGGTGAGTTCAGTGGTGATAACAACGCCTACTGCGAGTGTGTCACGTGTGAACGGTGAGTTCAGTGGTGATAACAACGCCTACTGCGAGTGTGTCACGTGTGAACGGTGAGTTCGAGCGGTATAGTGACGCATCCATGGTATATAGTTCACTTGAAAAATCTGAATAAATATATTTATCGTATACTCAGCTCAGCTCATTTTGATTTGTTTGTTTATGGAGTCAATATCGTAAACCTGCTAAAGGAATTGAGCTAGGATCATGAGCCTGACTCCTCGTTTCAGGAGAGGAATGGGCGCGTTTGCCAGTGAGCAGAGTGAGAAAGACAGCTCTAAAGGCTACAAATTACGCGAAACAGACTTTAGACTACGCAAGAAACGTCAGAAAATGGACGAGCAAGATGGCGGCTGCAGTGATACGGGAAGCAACAGCGGTAGTAAAGGTGATGTTCCCTGCCAGCCCTCCTCTGGTGTATTGCGTCTCAATGGAGCCGTGAGAAGCAAGAGAGAACTTCGGTTTCGTGCGAGCTCCCGAGACTCAGACCGATCTGATAGCAGTCGTGCGTCCGGTAGTAGTCGCAACAAAAGGAGAGCTGATAGTGCTGAAACATTTAGTGATCTCAAGCGCTCCAATAAAGATTCGAATGTCTTTCCTAAAGCCAAAATGAGGAAAGTCAGCCCTCTTTCCAGTGATCATAAACGCAGCTCACAAGAAAAGTGCAACGATTCTCCTAGCAGCAGAAATGGCCGGCCTGCGAGACGAACGACGCGCAATGGTCTTCGAGAAAGCATATTAGTTTCAGAAGAAGGTAGTGGGTCATGCAAATTAGTCAAGAAAAGACTCGTGCAGCTCCGCAACCGCCGCTGCAATGGTTCCTCAAGCCCCGTGACAATCGAAGTCATGGAATGTACTGCAAAGTCCCTCAATGGTGTTCCCATCTCCAATTTTTCACTCAATGTTCATTCCCGGAGATCGCCTCAGGCTGATGACGCGTTCAGCGACACATCATCCGAGTGCAGCGACACTTCATCGGTCCCTGCTAGTGGTGAACAATCCAGGGCGAGCGGCCGTGGCGAAAATTTTCGTGAAGATCCCAGTGACCGCCTCACTGTCATGCCTAATGATGTTATTATGCCTCATCGCGATGATGATGACAATGTGGCTTATGATAATCAGTCCAGATTATCACTTCTAGTATCTCCAAGACCTCCTTTAAGAGCAGCCCGAGAGCTATCATCCGATTCTGAAAAGCCCCCTAACCCAGCTAGATTGTATGGTTCCAAAGGAGCTGGTGATAACAATGCGAATCAATTTACCTATAATACCGACGATCTCCAGGTACCTAGATCAAGAACTATGGTGTCTACCCCGAGTAGTGACTGCGAGATGAGTCGCGACTCTGGTATTGGTCTTTGTGGCAGGAGTGAGAGCACCAACAAATCTTACGCCAATATTTGCTCCAATAACTTATGTTCTGACGGGAATAATTGTGAGGAAAATGCCACCGTGTTTTCCAGAGGAGGAATCACGCCAAACAAAGATGTCTATGAGTTTGAAGAGGACGATATGATGACAAGCTCTCCTAATTTGGGGCTACGTCGGTCCCCTCAGTGTGGGTCCTCCCCTCGTACTCCCTTAACCTGGTGTCCCCACAATGGCGCAGTTGCAGATACAGGGGATGTGGGGAGCAGTACTGCGCCTCCTCCACCTCCCCTTTTCCCAGACGCTAGTAGAGACTACAAGAATCCCAGCAAATCTGAGCGTCAAAGACTACGCATCAAGCTCCGTAAGCTGCACATGAAACGCTCCCCTGTTCTCGATGAAGTCATCGAGGTTGGTGATAACATTCCTGAAGACACAACTGGAGCCCTTGAGCCAGAGTATGAGGTGCTGACGGTTGACGGGCTGACGAGCGAAAGTAGTTACTGCGGTAATAGTGCCATGCCGCTCTTACCAAGCGCCAGCACATCCAGAAGGGACACGACTCCTGTCACAACATTAAACTCCAGTGACAGGAAAACTAGACGACCGAGCACGTCTGAAAACTCTAATAATAACGTAGAGATAAATACCAAGAACAGTAATGTAAGTAGTAGCAATTGTGATAGCATTAACTTAAGTGATAGTTTAGTACCAAAAGAATGCAGTAGTTCTCTAAGCAGCAGACCAGGCGGAAGGCATGTCAAAAAGTTACGTTTAATTATCGGGGGTGAGATCCGCACCCGAACGATCAACTTCTCCTACTGAGTCTTTCTTTCCATGAGAATTCGGGCATTTTACTAAATTTCCAAAGAAGGAAAATGCAATTTTTTTTAAGGCCTCCCACACTCACCATTCCAACAAAAAGGAATTAATTTTATTAATTAAAAAACAGGGAATGGTTTCATGTCAATGATCAGGGCCCCGACCTTAACGCCTCTGATGGTGGCCTACACCGACTCCGAG